TAAAGAATTATTATTATCAGTTGCAATATTTTCAGTTGATTTATGTCTTTTAAATGGCTTGTTATCATTTTTCTTGTTGTATTTTTGATTTCTGTCATATTGCACCACACAATTATAACAATTTGAACAAAGAGAATCACCAACGTTTACAAAAAATTCTCCCTTATTAGCTTTTTTCTTAGCCTCTTCAGTAACATTTCTAAATGTCGAGAATTTTTCTTTACAGTAATTGCAGAATTGATTTTTAGGTGGCATTTAATAGATTGTAATTTTGAAAAGTGTGATCTTCTCTGTGATCTTTTGACAGTTTGTATAAAACAACTAGGAGAATAATATATTGAATTTTGAATGGTCGTTAATTAGTACACTTGTACCCACTTTAATTGATGGGACTGGTTGATTATTTTAAATAATATAAATAATCCATGTAACATTTTACGTGATATTTGAATGTCCACCATGCTATTTTTATTCCCTGAAGATATTTTTAATATTTATTTTTAGAAAAAAATAATATTTAATGTATATAATAACAAATAAATACATATTTTTTTATGATTCATTTTTTATAATAATAATTAATATAATGAATATTTTAGCAAACACTCTCTAAAACGAACAAAAGCAGAAAATTACATATATGATGGAGGGCTTGTTCTAGAGAAAGTGAACTGTATACCATGCAGCTTCTTTTCTTGGCGAATATCAAAAATTAATAGATTAATATTATTTTTATCAGATCTTATTTACTAGGCTCTAAACATTTTACCTGTGATGTAAGCTTCCAAATGCACTGTCTGCTTGATTTTATTCCAAATAAAATTAATAAAAACATTAACTTTGTACCAGGCTCCTAGCACTCGTCTAGTTCTTTAATCATTCTTCAATCATTGGTTGATGAAATTACCTTGATTAGATTGTTCTTGAAATCTCTATGTTCAAATTCCTTTATATAAGTAAAGGCATGATTTTGTGTTTTGTAGTTAAAACTAATTTGAAGTCACAAAGATCCAATATATAAATTTAAAGTTAATTGCGAATTACTACTCCTACTATTGTTAATGACATTCTTTCTTTTACTTGATGCAGTTGCAGTTGGGTTAAATAATTTATTCGAATTGGTGCTTAACCTGACAATAAAATCACCCGACTTTGAAACCTTTCAACTCAGCATTCCAAATAGCGTAACTTGTATCATGTGGAATAATTTATTAGGAGTACCATCATCTGGAACTACTCTCATATTTATAAGTGTTGCATATCCCCACTGTGAATGTAATTTCATTGAAAGACACTAGAGCTTTGAATATTTCCCAAATATATGGTTGGTACAATTATCGATTCCTCCAGTACTAATTTCTGCTCTAAAAAATCTGGTTGACATGACAAAATTCATCTTGCACAGCAGTTTTGGGACGTCATCTGAGAAAATCAGTGAATTTTTTTTTTGTCATTTTGAGAAAAAGGGGTTTGAAGTTTTTGTTATTAATTTCCCATAAAAGGAAATGACAACCCAAAAAAATTTAATAAAAATAAAAAAACAATAATAATACATATAATTAATAAATTATTGATAAAATTAACAATTAATGTCTAGGTACAGAAGGTTTTGGACAAATATTATTTCTTTTATTGGGATTTTGCACTAGATCTCGTATTTGGTCATATAAATACCATTGTCTAGAAGCACTTAACCCTATTGCTTCTTTGATTTTCAATTCATCATCCAAATTAATTGAATTAATATCTAAACTGTGGTCCTTTAAAAGACAATTATAAGATCCAAAATCATCACTATGACACCTTTTATATTTTATATAACCTGGATGTTCACTTTCAAATAGAAAATGATAATATTTAGAAATCCCAGGGAGAATTTTAAAATACTTTGAGAAGAAAGCATTCCATTGGTAAAAATCTACTTTTCTTTCACTATTTTCATAAACAGGTTGTGTCAAATTGTACATAGCTGTAGTTGAATTATTGACAATTTCAACTAAATCATCAATATCATCAATTTCTGATTTTCTTAATTTCAATTTAATTAAGCCAAAAAAAACCATCTGGTGAAAATTTGGTATGTCCAGGCACCATGAAAGAATAAGTTATTCTTTTATGTAATCCATTCATCACTCTCCAAGCTAAATATCATATCATAGTATTATTTTCTATTATTTCATTGATCAATAAATTGGCAACATTGTCATCATCATCATCATCATCATCATTATTTTGAGGAATTGCTGCTCTATCTTCTATCATCGCATGAGCTTGGTTTATTAAATTATCATTATCATTATTTCCTTGTTGTTGCGCCATTTCATTTTCAAGAAGATCTGGATCCTCTTCATTTAGTAAATTATCTTCTGGTTGTGTATTCTGAATTATCCATTCTCTTAACAAAAATGCAGCCACAAAAATAATTACTACAACACATGTAATTATTTGACCTTCAAAAGCGTCAGCAAAAAAAACACTAAAAAAAAAAAAAATCAAAATATAACATATATTAAATTAAAATCTACTTTTACTTTTTAATTTAAAATAACACTACTAACCTTGTAAATTCACCAAATTCTTTTATAATATTTTCCACTTCAGGAGGTAAATACCATAATAGTCCTTTGGCTATTTTTAAATATAATATTGAAAATGGATTTTCTTCTCTTGTAGAATTATTTATTCCATTTTCTGCTCTAAATGGTGGATATTGTCCATTAATTCTATATGCTATGTACTCTCCACTCCAAAAATAAAATCTCCATACCCATACAGTAAAGTATGGTAAACAAATCAACCAAACAGACCCTACAAGCATTGCACGAAGTCCTATTTTAACAAGTCCTATTAAATGGTGAACACCACGTCGAAAGAACAATAAAACTGGAATGAATTCGGGAACATCTTCTCCATATACTAAATATATTATGTATTATTTTTTTAAATATATATATATATATATATTTATAAGTATTTTATAAAAATTTTTGAAACTTGATTACTAAAAAAAAGTTTCATTTAAAACCTACTTGGTGAAAATGAAAATGAGTGATTGCATAATTCACATTTTCTAAAAAAAAAATTTTTTCAAAAGAATTAATTTTAAATTGTTTTTTAAAAAAGATATATATATATATATATATATTACGTTTTTCCACTGTGTTTTAACCATTTCGTCAAACTAAAAGTTATATAAAAAGGTCGATATAAATCGTTATTTTTAAATATATATAAGACAATAAGAGTTATAAAAAGTAAAGTTCATAAAAATTTACCAGTCTTGATGTACATATCTAATACTGCCAGAACATTTACAAGGATAAAATAATGGATGATCTACACTACTTTCAGTTCGACAAACGCGACATACGTCTTAAATAATATTGAAAGAAAGATGTAATATTTATAAAGAAGAAAATGAAAAATTTATAAAGAACCATGTTTTTTACCTTCGTCCATAATATATAAATAAATATAATTGATATGATCTTAATAATTGCTTTTTTGTTTAAATGAAATAAATATTTTCGTGTATTGTTTAACAATCAGTCTTTGTTGAAAAGGGTCTTTTTTAAAAAAATTTTCCTTGGAATTCATTTTTATGTAAATCGAGTTTTTATTGGTCATTTTAAAATAATCAAGTAGGGAATCACGTGGTAATTCAAATTTTAAACGCTTAGCAAATAACGAGTTATTATGAAAAGGAGGATATTTTTGGTTGAACACCAAAGTGAAAGTAATTCTTGAAGATTAAAAAAATTGTTAGACTTGTCAAAAAAAGAAACCAGATTTCCATGCAAATTATATGATGTTTAAAATACAAAGTCTCATATCTAGAGCGTAAGATAAAATTTTAAAAACAACGAAGCCTGCAGAGGAGGTCTTTGGGAGTCTATTGTACGGTTATTCAGAATTATAAAAACCCCGCTTTTTTTACAAAACGTCTTAAAAAGAAACCCAATTCAATAAAAGGACCTTTACTGTTGAGATCACAATACATCTCTTTGTCGAAAAGTATGTTAGGAATTAGCAAGCTTGCTTTTAAATCATCTTATAAACAATGGTCTCACATCAAGAGTTCATTCATGGTAATATACCAAAAGAACGTCTCAATGGAAGCAAAATGTTGCGAAGAAGTTTTTTGAAAATTATGAAGTTCATGTATTACCCAAGCCCTGGGAGCTTCCAAAAAAATTAATCAAAAACAAAATTTAGCTGGTTTACACATACTAATACTAATACGTAATATAGATGCGAATAATTAAGTAGCAATCCCAAAAGGGTACTTTGGTGGTAAGTTTGTTAACATAATAAAATTTCTAGCTAATAGTTTTTGATGCATGTAACCTTCCATATTTATCGAATTTTTCAATAAAAAGGGTTAATACGTTTATCATTTGTCTCATATATCAAAATTTGTGTAATTTTTTTATGTTAATAAATATCAACAAAGTAGATCTTCAGGTAAAAACGCGGCTCAATTTTAAATGAATTAATGGATTAAGGATTCGGAATTGGATTCGGAATTGGATTCGGAATTGAATTGGATTCAGAATTGGATTCGAAATTAATGAACTTTGTTTAGAACTACAATATTTTTTTGGGAAGTAATTTTTTGTAAAATTTGGGTGTTGAAGTAATCATTTTGTTGTAGAAAAATGTATTTGTAGATCAAATATGTAAAGGTTCACTTTATTTTTCATTTTATGTAAAAAATTAATCAACTATAAAAATTATCCTGCCAATATATTTTTTTAACTATAAGTTATTATCTGAGAAATATTTTAATTATAGCATGCAGATTGCAAAAAATCAATCAGTTTTTTCATTTCTCTGAAGGTAAAAAACAAAAAATCAGTTGTTTTTTCATTTTTCATTCGCTGAAGGCAAAAATTTTTGTTTAAAAAAAAATTATTACTATGCAAACGGGAAATTAACAGTTCTTCATTAGTTAAAAAAACAATTAATAATTCTTTTTATTAGTAATAAATATCTTTATTTTCTTAATTAATTTATCCTTTATTTGTATTAAAAATGGCTTACACTGTTTTCAAAAAATTAAAAATTAATAATTATACGTTATTATTGATTAATTATTAATTATTGCATATAGATTGCAAAAATCAATCACTTTCACTGGAAGCAAAAAATTGTTTTCTTGAGAAAAATTTTTTTAGTTCAATCATTTCCATTTTTTTACTGTAAGCAAAAAATTGTTTTCTTCGTTCGTTTTAACAAAATTATTGTTATGCAAGTGAGATTTTTTTTAATAAAAAATTAATAATTCTTTATTAGTATCATTTATTTATACTAAATCGTAACAACAATTTCTGGCATGTTTTTACTCTCAAAACTATCTTTCACTATCATGTTTCTTAGTGGGTGCCTTCCTTAGCTGTTATTCCATACTCAACTCAGGTGCGTTCCCAAAACTACTAAATAAAATTCATTTAAATATCACCTCACTAAAAGAAAAGAAAAGAAATAAAAAAAATGGACAAATATAAAATAAGAGAAAAAATGATTATGCATGGGATTTGGTATGGATTCATTGTTAGGGATAGATTTATTATCATTATGAAAATACAATATTCAAGTCAATAACAAGGACAAAGATAAGGACAATATTATTTATTATTCCTAATTTATCCTAATTAAATGTATTACTTGAACTTTCTGTGTAGAATTATTTTCAAGTTATTTCTAAAGTGATCCAATAGTTTAAATTCTTTCATTTGAATTTAATCTGAGAATTAAAGGTCTGTTACATCAGAATATTTGTTTCTCTGTTGTCTGAGATATTTTCTGTGATTCAATTATTTTATTAGTGATTAAATAACAATATTAAAATCATTCAACTTTGCCGAAGGCCAGAATTTTTTCTTCAAATAGTAACTTTTATTTGAATAGGGACTTTAAAACAGTAAATAACAAGTAACACCAGTGACGAAGTCACTGTCATAAAGCATTCATCTAGTTCTATTATGAAAATTTTGCAGTTGTTTCACGGATCACAAATTAATGATTTAAATTATATCATTTTGAATGTCAAAAGTTTTGTAATTTATTTTTATTATTACACGATTATTAGTATCGTTATTATTCAGACAAAAAAATAATGAGCTATTTATGCAAAAGATGCTACAGTTTTAAATTTTAAATTATTTATTGTCATGTGATAAAATATAATAAAGCTTAGTTTAGGCAAATATCTATAATTTGGTTTTTATATATAAATTTAATTTTGGCAAAAGCAATTATGCCTAAAGTTTTGATATTTTAACTTGCTTGAAAACCGAAACTAAATTTTTTAATTTGCCAAAATTTAGGCAAACTTCTATAATAATAATTCACAAAATCAAACCACTCCATTCCTATGTATCTGACCATTGATCTCTCTATAATCCACATCATCTGTTCCATTTTGCTTACTAATATTAAAATAGATACTTGAAAGTCAAACGATGTAATTTATGTGGGATGAATGTGTATTCTCTTTATTCTAATAATATAATTCAAAAAGACAGCAACGTTCAACATTATTATTCATTTATAAGCTAATTAATTATCAAATTCAGTTAGAAAATGATTCAAAATAATGTGAAAAGTAAAAATTTTATTTGACAATTATTAGTAAAGTTACAATAAATAATAACAATATTATAAATTATTCTATTAATAAAGTAAAATTAAAGATGAATTAAAACAGCGAAAATAAAGTTATCTCAATCAATAAATTTTGTTTAAGCTGCTATGCTTGGTTTGACCATGTGTGTTGAAATTTTTTGTTGAAGATTTAGGAAACTGAAGAGACCTTTCCCCAAAAAGATACTCTGTAATCTTTATGCTATAGGTAGATGTTTATGTTCCTAAATCTTCAAAAAGGCAGGGATTGCCCCTACACTTGTCTCCGAACAAATCAACCCAAAATGATGATTCATTGAACAGCACAACCAGCAGAAGCAAAAGCAATGTTATTATAATACCAGATGAAACAAAATAAGCGCGAATAAATTTTTTCATTTTTTTTCCTATTAAAAAGTCATATCCAAAATTAATGTGGCAAATGAATGCTACAAGATTGTTGAATGTCCATATAGAGCACAATGCTGTAAGAAATTTGGATCTACAAAAAAATCCAATTGGAGGATTGATGTAGGCAATGCCTCTGATATCCATGGTATTATTACCAAGAATAAAGTAGTAATTATAAACCTTAGTCTTTTGTAACTTGGTGAGGGGATGGGAAAATCTTTCAAATTTTCTTCGTCGACTAAATTTTCATCCTGTATGGCTAATTCTATGTCCATGTCTTCATTTTCTTCTAACACTCTTATTAAGTGACCCTTTAACTCTATTTTAGGATCCTTGACTACAATGATCCCTGTTCTCCTAACAATCACTGGAATAGTCCAAAGAAAGGACAAAGTTAAAAAGGGCCAATTGCCATTATTACATTGTCCCGCCATACTGGAAATTCCTAAAATTGTTCCAACAGTTATATAATATCCAGATGCCAACAAGGACAAACGATCCAACACAGATGCATTTGCTGTGCAGTTTTTAAAAATTTTTTTTTGCTCCGAAGTAATCAGCATATCTTTAACATGAAGGCCAACTGGTCGGAAGTCAAGCCTTTTTTCTTTTGTATGTAACAAAATATTCTTCTGGGAGCCAATATATACACATTTCCACTGGGTTATCTTTTATGTTCAAGTAATAAAAGAGACCCGTGTAAGGTGTGGAAATGCATTTGAAAATCCAGGTTAGTTTATGTACCAAAGATTCAAATGGTGCTGCCCCCAATGTTACGATTACAGGAATGAGACCCAGCACATATTGTGGCATGGGTTCCTGTAATTTATGAATTACTTCAATTACTGGATTTTGTGACATTTTTATGTTAAAACTTTGACGTAAATTAGCTTTATTTATAAGTAAAAATTAATTGTCAATATTTCTAGTAAACATTCATTCACAATTTGAAATTTGTTTACAGTGTAACGAAAATAATGGCGGTTACAAAAAGTTGCTTATCTCAACAAATATTGAAAGATAGGTGAAGGCGGGTTTGCACAATTGCAAAGCATAATTAAATAGGTTTAGATTCATTTAAAATAAAAAAATTTATTGCCAATTTTTTGTAAAGCTAAAATTTGACTTAAAAAATTTGACATGAATTTTTTAATAATTATTCTAATGCAAAAACATACATAATGATTATACAAAAATCATATGGCATATAAAATTACATGCATCTATATTTTCTAGAACTTTGTTAATTAAAAATAAAGAAATCCAATTATTTTTTTTAAAAAAAGCATATAAAACCTTGGATCAGACGGCCATTATCCTGCTTATATTCAATAGTACTCATTCATTAGGCATTTTTAAATCATGTTCAACGGTATGTTTATTTCCTGATGAACGAGCATTATCAGGCCAGTAATGTAAATAAC